AAAACGAAATCAAAAATTTGGAAAAAAAGGACTTTAGATAACGGTAAATTTGAAAGGCCATTTTGTTTTTCTAAAGTTTAACTATAGTATACCGCGCTAGGGAAAGTAAGCCGCTGCCTTTCTGCGTTTGCAAAATTTCAAAAATGCTTATGGTTTCATTGCAACAAATAGTTAAAATGGGCCATTTTTAGGGATTTGGGGGGGGTATAACTTCTAGAGGGGGGGAGATAGGTAAAAATTTTGTTCTACGAAAATAAGTTTCTAGTAAAGATCTATATACGTATTAAATTTCAGCTTTCTATCTTTAAGAATGTAGAAGTTTTGTAAACAGACACACGGACAGACGGACGGACGGACGGACGGACGGACGGACGGACGGATAGAGTGAAACTAATAAGCACTTTTTTTCAAAAATTTTTTGGAAAAGTGCTAAAAATGATGTGGTAACAAAAAATTAAGATTTGGCAACTCTAATTTTTACTTCATCAAAGTACAACAAACACATAAAATACATTATAGTTTCTTTTAAAACATGAAGCGTTAATCTTAAACCCATTTTAAAGGCAAAGAATTAATAAATTTTGGCGTACTTTATGGTTATCATTCCTCTATTGTTATTGTAAAAAATATTTTGCGAATACAAAACTTAATACGCAATATTAAATTAAATATAATTAAATAATTTTTTTTTAAAATAAGCATTTTACCACCTAAAATCTTGGAAAACTTGTTAAACAGCTTAAAACAACGTTAAGGTATTGAATAATTAAAAAATAGTTTACAAAGTGATTTTACATAATAAAAAAATATTAAAATTTAAAATATTTGTTCAAAAATTGGAATTGTAATCATATTGTCGAGAGAATATTTACCTGAGCATTGCTTTTAAATAATAACAAAATTCTAACATTACCGAAGTTGAATTTCGTCCCTGTTACGTACCATGATTAACAATTCCAAAATGTTATGTGGAAATTAAAATTATGCTATCATTTTTTAAAAAAAGAATTTGCGTTTTAATAAAAAATTAAACAAAATTAAAATATTAATTAAGAAAATATGTGAAAGGTTTTTGAACATACAATAATTTCATGGCAAATATAAACAAAAATTATTGAAATCATTGTTCTATAACCGGTAAAAAAATATTATCTAAAAATGTTAATTGTTTAATTGATATAAAAAAATGAAAAACTTTATTATGTAACACTTTTAATTTTATTGAATCCACAGTCTGCAATGTTATTATAAAATGGAATTGGTATACATGTTAAGAATTAATAATAAATTTATTTCCCATAGCAATTCTAGTAAAACACATGCCATGCAAATAATTTATAATATTTTTTTTTCAATTACATAATAAAAAAACATTCCTAATATAATTATATAAGATAATAAGTAATTCATAACTGAAATATTTATAAATTATACACACAGTACACAACATATACACACACGCACAAAAATTCAAATATGGAAAGTCATAACAAATTGATAATAAAACTTGATGTTATTACAATTAAACGTTAAACAATTAAGGAAAACATAAATATGATGGTTACTATATACATATTTATATTAGATTATAATACAAAAATGTTTGTGACAATAAAAATTAAATAAGATTACTAAGTATAACAGTAAAATCTGCATAAATTTACTGTTTGTAAATAACACAAATGTTATAGTATTCAAACTATTTTTACTAGTCTATTAAATTTTTTTCTCTTCTGCTCTCTTTTTTATTTTTACGCATCAAAATATAATCCCCTCTATTATGTATATCGGTATCGGCCGATAAACGATAATTTATCGGCAAAATTTTGTGTTTGTATTACCAACATTGTTTATCGGTAAATTTTATCGGAGTCGGGAAAGCTTTTTTTCCTGTATAGGAAACGTATTAGCTGGTATTATGAAAACGATAAATTGTCGGATTTTCACCGATTTAAAAGCGGGTACAAATTTTTAGACGACAGATTTTTTTTTTTGTAAAATCTTCATTTTATCAAGGAAACTGGTGTAATTAATTGCTTTTTTAAAATGTAAGCATTTTTTCTAAATTATTTTCTTTCAAAATGTTATTCATATATTTTATTTAGGAGTAAAATCGTAAGCAACAAAAAACAAATTGCGCGGTTAGTAGAAAAAATGGAAGAGGACTTAAACCTGGCAAGGAATGATAATCTGAAATTCTGGATAAACCTAAAAAATGTGTACATATTATATAAATAATAAAATAAAATAGGTACATAAACATACATTTTGCTGTCTAAATCCAATGGATTAGTTGAATCTCTTATATGTCGTCTTTGAATAGCTTGCGTTTCTTCACTTACTACCGTTTCTTCACTTTCAAAATATAATACACGCGACATTTTCCCGATATATGTATATTTTTATTGTACAAATTTAACAGAAAATAATTTGCTTACAACAACTTTTTAGCACATCAAAACCAAATTCAAAATAGTTTTAAAAATTTTTTGAAAATAACTTTTGAAAGAAAACAAATGTCGTTAGAAAAAAAAAAAAACTTTTTCTCCAATTTACAAAAACAAAAATTTGTTTGAAAAAGCTTCTTTTAATCGGTTGAAATATTTTTATCGGTATCGGTTCATAATACAGAAGAAACTTAAAACCGATTAGAACTGCCGATAATATATCGGCCGATACCGATGTTCATAATAGAGGGGAATAATATTATGTAACTGTTAATTTTAGCATTAATATATGTTATACTTATGTTACATATTATACACTAATACTTGATAACAGATTTTATAATAAATCAATATTAATCGCGTGTTATTTTTGACATAAATGTATATATGTACATAACGTTACTGTCAATAATTTAAAAAAATGTAGAATACTCGTATTTACGCTACTTGTAAGTTGAACACTCGTTAATTTGAGTTAAATAATTTATAAGCAGATGTCTAGCCTACGCAAGTTTCACTGTATTGATACATAAATATAAGTTGTGTTTTGTGTACAACTATAAATTGTAATCTGATTGTAAAATATAGTAAATAGAAAAAAAACTCCCTACTATTAATAACATGTTTGCAATTTAGTAAAATTTCCAAAATAACGCAGCCAAAAAGCTGTAATTAATATTTGATACAAAATTTTACAGCTAAAACTCTTTTTATACAACGAATATGCAAATTCGGCATTATTAACATATAACTGAACTTTCTTAAACATGTGATAAAAAATATGTGCTCATATTTATTAATGATTATAGAAACCCTGTTCAAAACTTAAATACAAATTCACAATAAAAATATTTTCATATGAGTAACCTTGTAAACTTTTAAAAAGCTTTTTAAAAATTCCAATAAATTTTATAACACTACTTACATATAGCCGTATTATGTACACATATATATTATAAATATACCTATAATTTATATACATAGAAACGTGCTTTGAATAGAAACACTAAAATTTAAGATAAGATTGATAATGAAGTCGTTTTGCACAGAAACGTAAACTGTTGGCTTATTAAACGTATGTTTGCTTGCTCTACAATACAATTATCTGATATTCCGCGAAATCCAAATCAGTGAGCGATTTCCAAAATTTATATCTAATATCAATTTGACATTTTTAGCAGATAAATTTGTACTGAAGTTAAATCTGCATTTTTGTAGACGTCCAGTGGTGAATTTAATTAAAACACTGTCTCAATTGATTAAAACAAAATCCTGACAATATTTAAATAAGTCACACTTGATCTACGTTATTTACATTATAATAAATTTGTAAATTTTTTGACAGTTTTTCGAATTCTCACACATCTTTCGTATTTACTCCTAATTTATCTTCAAATATCTTCAAGTTATTCATATGTAAATGTCATGTTTCTCTCTTTTCATCCGTAACATGTTTTATATTAAAGAGTTTATGCATACAGAAAACGAAATTAATTTTTATAAAATTTATAACAGATACAAAATTGTATTGAACGTGTGAATGGCGCACGTTTTTCTTTTTTCAATTCCTTTTTTTTTGTTTTGTGGTTCTCTTTGCCAAAAGACCTATTTTTAAAAGAAGAATTTTACAATGAAACTTTTTTCAATGGGCATACAAATGATAACTAACACTTCATCAGTATTTCGTAATTTTTTCAATTAACTCATCAAATACTATAGTTCTAGTGTACATAGTAAGTGTATACAGATTGTATATAATACATATATGCAAAGATAATTTAATCAATTACTTATTAATTTATCGTATAGTTGTCACTGATTAATTGAATAACTTTTAAATTTAAGAGCGCGTACAATGAAGACGAAAATATTTACATACATATTTAATAATGAAGAACAAATTTACAATAAGACGATTACAAAATTATTTGATTATCGATTACGTTTTTATACCAATAAAAAATGTAGACAAAAATTTAATATTCTAAGCTTTGGTTTATATTGCTTACGGGGACACGCTTAAAAATTTTACGATTTTAGAATTCCAAATTATGTTATATGTGAAAATAATAAATTTAAATATTTTCGATAATCATAACTAATAAAAGGAAAAAACTGGAACGTAAAAATATGAAATTAATTTTTAAGAGTCATCAATTTTTATCTCGTATGCGTAATCTATAATGGCTATCAAAAGAAGTGACAATGCAGTTTTTCTTCTAGGCGACAATCGAATTAAAATAAAAAACTTTTTTATTTAAACATTATAAAAATTCACATCACAATAATTAATTTATTAATCAGTTGAACACAATTTATATTAAATTATTTATTATATCATCCGTATTTGGTATTAAAATGAAATTTAGTAGTATAAAATTTTATAAAAGAAAATCCAAAGTTATGGTCAGTGTCGCAGCAAATTAACGATATACATATAAATGATATTTAAATTCCTTCTTACAATTTAAATTAAATGTTACTAGTTTACAAGCACACTTAAGAATACTAAATTACTAATTTTTGCTAATTCCTTTTGTTTATGAAACTTACCTAAATAAAATCAAATGTTGTTACTTTTAATTATTTTTTATAAAAATTTATTATTAAAATCCAAATTCCAATTATTTTGTTAAATTATTTTATTAATACTGCAATTAAAATTTTCTTGTTTTTTAATTAAAAACTCACAGCCTTAACAATTTTCTTTTAATATTAAATATTTAATTTTTTAAATTTCTAAAAAATTAATCATAAAATTTTTTCTTTTCTTAAATTTTTTATTATTTTTTTTCCAATGTTGCTAATTACTGGCTAACTCAATTTCAACTTAATTCATCAAAAAAATTTTGTTCTTTGTATCATAAAATTTATAAAATATTTAAATTTTTTAAATTTAATAATAATAAATATACGGCAAAAGGCACATTACAAGTATACAACCCTAACTCGAATAAAGCTAAACTTCTACTAAAAAACCAAAACAATAAAAAAAAACTTTTAAGTTACTTTTGTTTTATTTTTTTGTGATTTGATTGACTCGCTTGTTAAATGAAATCAAAAACCAACAAAAAAAAAAAATGAATAAATACAAAAGTTTCAAGTCCATTTAGCTACTAAAAAAACTTTATAATTTTAATATTATAATCACACACTATACACATTCAAACTTATAAACAAATAACAAATATAAAATAAAATATATAAGTATATTGAACACGATTAATTCCGAGTAACACACAAAATACTTATAAATACAAGTACATAAGAAAAGTAACTATATATAATTAAACTCAAGTAACGTCATCTATATTGTATAAATGCGTATAAATGTATGTATAGATGTATAGAAATTAAAAAATTTTATAAAAAATTATAAAATAGCTTGAATTGATCGTACATAAGTAAAACGAAAATTAAATATAGTATGTGATAGCGACGATACATAAAACAAAACTGCTCACTAATATACAATTACTTATGTACTTAGTTACAAAAAAAAAAAGCATAACAAAAAAAGTAAAATGAAAATGTATACGCTTTACGTTTTCACACCGCTACCGCTAACGTGTTATTCGAAGTCTAATTTAAGATTAACTGGTCAGTCTAGTCTAGAATTTTGTTTTTGTTTTGTTTTTTCACATCTATTCATTTTATTGAATCTTATTTATACAGACATACATAATATGTACTAATATATGATATTACGTAATATAATGTAAAATAATTTATTTTATACTTATTTGTTTAATGCAAACACAAAATATCTCCATGCGTACATAAGTGTATTAGTACTTAATGGAGATTTACTTAAATAAATGTTATCGCATTTGTATAAGAAAAAAAAAATTACTTGGATATTAATTACATACAATTTTTCTTCCTTTTGAATATTTCGGGGCGGCAGACGAAAAAAATTATATTTTTACTATACGAGTATCCTTTTGTTTATGCACACAAAACTAGAACGATTTCTTGTATATCAATACAAAATCAATTAAATGACAATTATTCCTTGAAGAAGATAGGTAGGTAGAAACGTACGCGATTTTAAATACAGCCATTATTTTTTAATAACCAGAAGAATACATTGTAAAAAGAAATCTTATGGTAATAATTTGCTCATGTTTGAAATAGCAATAATTACAATTTATGACAATCCCTCTAACGCTGGAATGTATAACTAATGCCAACTTTCTTTTAATTTTAAAACTCTATAGTGATTAACTTTACAAATGGAACGTAACACCTTTCCATCATTATTCAATTATTATTTTTTTGTTTGAAATAAATATTTAGAGAGCACTCACGATATTCCACACGATATATATATATATATACATATATTGTATATGTACGTATAAAAATCAAATATTTTTCATATTAAAATATTGAAATGGAAATTCTGAATAGCATAATTCAAAAAATTAAATGAAAAATTAAGTGAAATTTATTTAAACTGTACAAAAGTGCAAAAAAGAATTTTATTAGAAAAGGTTAAGGTTAATTTAAAGCTCAAATATAACATAAATAAATTATTTTAGTTAATATTTTATACCTCAAAACAATAAGATTCCTGTAAAGATTTTTTTAAATATTTCACTTAAATGAAAATAATAACAAAATTATCAAAAATTTGATCAAAGATTTTATTGATTTCTTTAAGTAATGCAAATTTAAACAAGAAGCAATTTAATTCTTGTAAGTAATTTAAATAATTTTAAGAAATAATAAATTGTTGTATGATTTTTTATAAAATGAATAAACAACAAAGTAAGGCCACTGTTATTTTTAAATGAAATCTTTTTAAATAATTAAATACTAAATAAAAAATTTAAAAAATAAATACTCAATAGATCAATATCATTTAAAGGGATCAGTTTCCGCCTGAAATTTTCACGTACAGTTTGTTTTTTTTTTCATATCTAATGAAATTTAAAATCTAAACGAATATCAAATTTCATTATATTATTAATGAATATTGAACAAGTATAAATACTTTGTAAGTAAATTAGATATTTTTATTTTAAACTGATATATACTTAGGTAGTAGGTACTACATACCTATTTCGCGTGCCTTTTTAAACATATTTCTGACTTTTTCAACTAGAAACAAAAATCAAATAGAATAGACTAAAATTTTCATTTTAAAAATTATCATAATTTGTTTGTTCATTTTATAGAATTGAATTTATTTTTTGTTTCGTCCAAGTCTACGAAAATATGTGGAAAATATTGAACTTTATTTTAGAATAAAAAACATAGATAAGTGTAATTCAAGGTGAATTCTCAATTTTTTTACCGTGATAATAAATTTTAAAATTATTAATTTAATGAAAAATTTCAACGATTTAGAAAAATTAAAGAATATGAAGAATTTAAACTCGTACTATACTGAATTAATTTGTAAAAATATTTTATTACTTTTAATTATATTAATTAAAAATTATAATTTCACTGTCTACTTTCAGGAAAATTCAAATTCTAAACAAGACATCAATTATTATTTTTTACACTTACATATATTAATATGCCAGTGTTCCAAATTTTCTCCCATTGTTATATCATATTAGGTATTCTATCTGATTAAAAGTTACTTAAGCCAACTTTTAAAACTTATTAATTATTAACACAAACCTTTTCTAATTACACTATTTAGTGTTAAAGGCAATGCTTAACATTCAATCACTTACCATATTGTTCACTTCCAGTTCCAACTTCTTGAACTTTATTTTTATAATAAGTAAATTTCAATTTATATAAAAAAGGTAAATTTAATAATTCAATATAAAAGAGATAAGATATTGGAAAGAAGAGAATAGGTAATTAAAAACCAATAACTAATACAATTTTATAAATGTATACTGTATGATATTCCTTAAATTGAAATAAAATCATAAGTATATGTATATATATATAATGTACTGTAGCAAAGGCCTTAAAAAAATTTTTATTTTCATCATAATGGCATGAAATTTCGTATATCATATTTTACAAGAAATATAGAAACAGTGAATGAAAACAACTAAAAACCTGATATGAAATGTATTTTTTCTTCTGAAATTTTCTGCTTGCCACATAATATTAGAGTGTGATCATTAAGATTTTACTTTCATTCATTGATTTGCTCTTCTATTCAGGAGTTTGTTTGAATATTCATATTAAACTGATCTTAAAAATTCGAAATATTTAAACATATAAATACCTACATATGTACAATATATAAATAGGTAGCTATGAATATACTAAAAGGTCTCAACTGTCCAAAATTAGAGATTTTCACTTTCAATTCAATAAAAACGAGTTGAAATGATCAACAGACATAACTTAATATTTTACACATCATAACTAAATAAAATTTTAGACCTTTGATTTCAAAATTAAAGTACGCTTGTATTTAATGACACCAATCTAATTTACATCCTTAACCTTGACATCTTAGCACCCAAATATATTTTTATGTTAACATTTGTAACTTACTTTAGAGAACCTATTCGTTTAGGGTAAATAAATAGGTAAATCACATACATATACACATATGTGATTTAACCAACCAAATCGAAAGTTGAACAAAATGTTCCCATATAATTCAAATAATAGCTCTCGTATTTGGAATAGTCTGGCTCAAATATTTAAAACATGTACTAAGCATATTAACTAAGTAAATTTTGATATGACGTAATTTTTTTAAATTCGATTATTGCAAATTTCGTCTTAATCCATTTTTAATTATACCTGTTGTAATATTTAAAAAAAAGAAATAACTTGATCCATTTTGTATACATACCTTTTAATTAAATTATCTAGTTATATATAAAATAACTCTTATTATAAAATTTTAATGTAGATTTTGGAAAAATAAAACAAAAATGTTTCCTATCTTATTTAAAATTGAGTTAAAAAATTTAATGTATAAAAGCACTGCTTAAAAATTCCCGCACTCCTAAAACACTTTAAGTATAATCAAGTATAATTAACTTAAACCACGATTCAACTAACACTAAATGTACATATTTTGATATTTTATTAAAAATTTTGACAACACAAAAAGTAATAAAATGTCAAATTTTTATAAGAGCAACAGGTTAAGTATTTGACATATGTGATATGGATAATAAGTTTTACAATTTCAGAACTCAAGAGTTCACACAAATACTCCCGTAGGGTTATTATGTATTCTATTTCTTTGCTGTGCTCTCTCAATATACAAAATATTTGAGTTACTTACATATAGCTATAGTAGATAATAATAGATTATAATATGTAAGGCTTTTTAGAAAATTAAACATGATTGAAGACATATTGTCTTTCCGTCAAAAATCAAACTTCCAAAAAAGTAAATATAAATGTAAATCATTATAAGGCTAATATTAAAGCAAAAATAAGTAAAAAAGTTGATTTTGGTCTTTACCAAAATTGATTATTCGACTATTTTATATTAAGTTTATCCTAAGCTTGGAACTTTAACATTTTTACAATCAATAAACGTATTTAAAAAGAATTCTTTGATATTGGTTAGGATTTTATTGAGTCTATTAGATACATGATTTGCGTGTAGCAAAAATATGCATCTCTGGCAAATTTCAAATCTCTTACATTTTCAAATGAGTGCTTCACAAATAGTCAAATATCGGGGATACAAAAAGCATAGCTAGGGCTTATATGGTTTATTTCATGGTGTTACATATACCATTTGAAAAATTGAATATGTTCCTTATTTAATATAATGTATTTAGATGGGTGCAATTAGCTTATTTTATTACTATCATTATTTGACAGATGGTCTTCTAAGTTTGCATTGCTACTCCATGCAAGCCATTCAATTTTAAATGATTAATGACACATTAATATTCGACAATCTTTTTATAAAAGAATTTTTTTAATATACATACTAGATTTTTAAAATGCTTAATGGCAAATTACTACTGAAATTGGTGTAATATACACCGACAATCTAAGTCAATAAAATTTTTTACAAATTTTAAGTATTACTCAACTGCATATTAATAATATTTTTATTTTAAAGGCAAAGAAATTGTACAAAGTAGATTTTTGAAAAATATTTAAGTTAGTATATGTACTAAGTTATACAAAAACATATAAAGTTATTTGAACTAAAATTTTAAATTTGACTCAACCCTTGAAAGAGTCTTCCATAAACGAAACAATTCACAATCGTTAGTTCTCTCATAATATTATTAAAAGGAAAATAACACATGTTTTTGACGTTGACATTTGTTATCGCAAAGACAAAGCATAACTTCAAAAATAAATAAACAAAAGTGAAAACAAAATAAGAGTATTCTTTTAAATTAATTAAAAATAAATAAATAAAAATGGCCACAAATGTTACTGCAGCTGTAATAGCCAATAGAAATAAGAAAAACTTTCTAGGAATTCCAGCTCCCTTGGGATATGTAGCTGGAGTCGGTCGTGGGTAAGTTAATATTATTGTAATTATTAACGATTTTAAACGTTTAACTTTTTGTACTTAATAATAGAGCCACTGGTTTTACGACGCGTTCTGATATTGGTCCAGCTCGTGATGCAAATGATGTTTCAGACGATAGACATGCACCACCTGCTGCAAAAAGAAAAAAGAAAGAAGAAGAAGAGGAAGATGATGAAGATTTAAATGATTCTAATTATGATGAGTTTAGCGGCTACAGTGGTTCTTTATTTTCGAAAGATCCATATGATAAAGACGATGAAGAAGCTGATGCTATTTACGAATCAATTGATAAACGGATGGATGAAAAACGAAAAGAATATCGTGAAAAGCGAATGAAGGAAGATTTAGAAAGGTATCGCCAAGAAAGACCGAAAATTCAGCAGCAATTTTCAGATTTAAAAAGATCTTTGTCAAATGTCACTGCCGAAGAATGGGCAAACATTCCAGAAGTTGGAGATAGTAGAAATAGAAAACAAAGAAATCCCAGGGCTGAAAAGTTTACACCTCTTCCGGACAGTGTTCTATCTAGAAATTTAGGAGGAGAAACTACGACTAATATAGATCCCAGATCTGGCATTGCTTCAATGATTCCAGGGGTTGCAACACCTGGAATGTTAACACCTACGGGTGATTTAGATTTGAGAAAAATTGGACAAGCAAGAAATACTTTGATGAATGTAAAACTTTCACAAGTTTCTGATTCTGTCACTGGACAAACAGTTGTAGACCCAAAAGGTTATTTAACAGATTTACAATCAATGATTCCTACATATGGGGGTGATATCAATGATATCAAGAAGGCTCGTTTACTTTTAAAAAGCGTACGTGAAACCAATCCCAATCATCCACCTGCCTGGATAGCGAGCGCTCGTTTAGAAGAAGTCACTGGCAAAGTGCAAATGGCAAGAAATTTAATTATGAGAGGATGCGAAATGAATCCATTAAGTGAGGACTTATGGCTTGAGGCAGCACGTTTACAACCCCCTGACACAGCGAAAGCTGTAATTGCACAAGCTGCAAGACATATACCGACTTCAGTTCGTATTTGGATTAAAGCAGCTGATTTGGAAAGTGAAATCAAAGCAAAAAGAAGAGTTTATCGAAAAGCTTTGGAACATATCCCGAATTCAGTGCGATTGTGGAAAGCTGCTGTTGAATTAGAAAATCCGGACGATGCACGGATTTTACTTTCTCGTGCTGTTGAATGTTGTAATACAAGCGTAGAGTTATGGTTAGCGTTGGCTAGGTTAGAAACATATGAAAACGCTAGAAAAGTTTTAAATAAAGCTCGTGAAAATATTCCCACTGATCGTCAAATCTGGACAACGGCAGCAAAACTGGAAGAAGCTCATGGAAACATCCATATGGTAGAAAAAATTATTGACAGAGCATTAACCTCTTTAACTGCAAATGGGGTCGAGATTAACAGAGAACATTGGTTTCAAGAAGCTATTGAAGCAGAAAAATCGGAAGCTGTACATTGTTGTCAAGCAATTATAAGGGCAGTTATTAGTATAGGAGTTGAAGAGGAAGATCGTAAGCAGACATGGATTGATGATGCCGAATTTGTAAGATATTTTGTTTCTCTGTTGTTTGATAAAAATCAAATTATTTGGATTTATTTATTTAATTTTTAGTGTGCGAAAGAAAATGCTTTTGAATGTGCCAGAGCTGTTTATGCATATGCTTTGCAAGAATTTCCGTCCAAAAAAAGTATTTGGCTTCGAGCGGCATATTTTGAAAAAAATCATGGTACTAGAGAAAGCTTGGAGGCTCTTCTTCAAAGAGCTGTTGCGCATTGTCCAAAATCTGAAATTCTTTGGCTAATGGGTGCTAAATCTAAATGGTTAGCAGGAGATGTACCAGCTGCTAGAGGTATTTTATCTTTAGCCTTTCAGGCTAATCCCAACTCAGAAGATATTTGGTTGGCTGCTGTAAAGTTGGAAAGTGAAAATGCTGAATATGAAAGAGCTAGACGTTTACTGGCCAAAGCTAGAGCGTCGGCCCCAACGCCAAGAGTTATGATGAAATCAGCTCGTTTAGAATGGGCACTGAATAACTTGACTGATGCTCGGAAACTTTTGGATGAAGCTGTAAAGGTATTTCCAGATTTCGCAAAATTGTGGATGATGAAAGGACAAATTGAAGAACAGGAAAATTTATTAGAAGATGCGGCAGACACATATAATACCGGACTTAAAAAGTGTTCTACTTCTATACCCTTATGGATCCTTTCTTCACGTTTAGAAGAACGAAAAGGAACATTGACTAAAGCCCGTTCTATTCTAGAGCGTGCTAGATTAAAAAATCCTAAAAACTCGCAATTATGGTTGGAAGCCATTCGATTAGAAATACGTGGAGGTTTCAAAGAAATTGCTAATACAATGATGGCACGTGCCCTTCAAGAATGTCCCAATTCTGGTGAATTGTGGGCCGACGCGATATTTATGGAATCAAAACCACAACGAAAGAGTAAATCTGTTGATGCATTAAAGAAATGTGAGCATGATCCCCATGTTTTGTTGGCAGTGTCCAAATTGTTTTGGACAGAACATAAAATGCAAAAATGTCGAGAATGGTTTAATCGATCAGTAATTATAGATGAAATAATGAAGCAAAACTATTTATGAACGTTCTTAATTTTAGGTGAAAATCGATCCAGATTTAGGAGATTCATGGGCATACTTTTATAAGTTTGAATTATTGCATGGTACTGAGCAACAACAAAACGACGTTATTGAAAGATGCGTAGCTGCAGAGCCTAAACATGGGGAAGTATGGTGTAAAGTCAGTAAAAATATTACAAATTGGTGCTTCAAGACACCAGACATTCTGTCAGCAGTTGTAAAAGATTTGGCGATTCCAGTATAAATTAAATGACAACGCTAAAAATTAAATTTATTGTAATAGAAGTAGGAAAACTTCTGATATTTATAAATTAAATTGTTTGGAATTACATGTATTTAATTTTTTTCACAATCACATTTTTTTATTGCATTTAATATTGCAGGTTGTTATACCGTTGTAAATGAATATGTTATCATTTAATATTTTTGATAATGAAATTTTACCATCTATATTAATAGCTTCCAAATTAAACTTTTCAGATTCCAGTGAATTAAACTGCTCTTCTAATATTAAATTGAGTCGCAATGCTATAAAGTCCGGATTTTCGTTTTTATAATCTTTCATGCAAGTAATTACTTCTTGATCACATGTTTGCACTTTATTCGATTCATTTTCGTTTTCTGATTGAAATGAATGTAAATCGGAATCATAAGCCACCATATCGGTTTCCTTAAAGTGAAAATGAATTCGAACACATGCACCGACACAGCATTTTTTAAAATCTTTTTTACATATTTCCGGGATATTGCTGCTAAAGCACCGAATAAGAGATCTTAATTTAATATTAAGCAACTGACGATTCATAATTTTTCAAAACGTACATAAATAACCATGTACATAAATATGTAATAATAAGAAAAATATATTTGACAAATTAGTTTTTTTTTAATTTTTTCAAATTTTGTTTAACATAATATTGTAATTCATAAATATATTAAATCGAGTTATAAATGCTTTAGTTTAGTGTTTCTTTCGTATATTACATAAACGAAAGGCAGATTTCGTAAACAAATTTAACATAAGATTCGTTAACATCTACAATATCTAGAATTTTAGCCCACAACATAGTGCTATTGCAAATAGCCAACACTGCTTTATTAAAATATTGAATCAATGAGGATTAAGCTTAAGTACTCCACAAAAAAAAATTTTTTTCTTTTATAAATCTTTATTGCTTTCATCTAAATTTTATGTTATACTTAATATATACATGTATATTAGTAATATATATTATAATATTGAATATATATTTTATATGTATCAATTTTTATGCATGTACATTTTAAGTTAATATTGCTTTTTTCTATTATTGTTTTTTACTATGGAAAATTTAATGGTCTATCTTTAAATTTACGTTAACATCCTTTTGGATTTGTGATAATTTAACAATGTGTGAAACCTGAACAATAAAGTTTAGCATAAAATTTAATAAAATTTTTCAATTACTACATTGAAACTTTTTGCTATGGTCGTATTTGTAAATAAAATACACAATAATAAATTATTGTGTATTTTACGAAAATCTTTATTTAAAATAATTTTAATATTAGAAAACTATAATTAGTTATCATTTAAAATGAATAAGAAAAATATATATGTATCTGTATCAGGTAAATTAAAATTTAAATAAGAAATATTAATTTATTAAAATTTTCTATTACCAAATTATCATTTTTAAAAAAATTTTAACGAAGCAATTTGTTAGGATTCTTTTCTCCAATATAATGTAAATTTATCTATTTAATTTTCTGAAAATTAATACTGAATTATAAAATATCAATATTAAAGTTTTTAAAATCGATAGTTTTCTATAATTAAATCCTCTTCAGAAATCAGGTATATACAGTATGTAGTGAAATTATGTTTTTAGTGTACGTAAATTGTAAAAGCTAGTTTTGTTTTGTATCCTTAAAAATATTACAAATTACTAAAACAAAAATTTATATAAAAATTAAACTTAAATATTTAGTAAATTGATATTTTTTTGTCCTTATTGAATTTCTTAAATCTTAACCAAAATTAAAAAAAAAAAAGAAATTTAATTGATTTTAACATTAATAAAAAAAATCAAAGCAAATATTTTCAAACAACACCAATTTCAACTCTCAATAATATGAAACTGATTATACTTAAGTAATTTTGAAAAATGGAATTATTAATTTTAATTACTTTGATTTATTTATTATTATTAAAAAAATTTCTACAGACTTTAAGTTAAATTAAAGTCAATATTTTACACTACCGAGAAATGACAACGATCGGCTTCAATTAAAATTATTAAAATTAAAAATAATATGTTAAAAACTTTTTATACTTTCAAAGTTTTAAAGTTGCTTAAAAATATTTTCAAATTATTTTTATTTACTTTACTTTAAAAAAGTAATAGACTCAAATACTTTTAACCTAATTCATTTAAATTTAATTTATTTTAATACAATCTTATAATGTACAATATTTCAAGAAAACATTACAATATATTTAGGCAATTATTGCCATCAAATATTAAGCTAAAATCAAACCTAAAATCATCAATCTTCTTAGGATTTTACCAAATTTTAATTATTAAATAATATTATATTTTAATCATTAAGTATTAATGTAATTATAATTACAAGTTAATAATTTAAAATATATTCATGAAATCAAAATTTCATGCGATATTATAAAATATTATTCCTACAATATATAAACGCACAAAATTAAGTTGTTGAAAAAGAGGACATGCATAACATCTCTTAATTTTTTTTTTTTTGTATGTTATAAGTAAATTAATTCGTAGTATTAAAGTGCATGAAACAATTGTTTAAATAAAATTAAAACCTTTTTGAAATATGAAAAGGATTTATTTTAATTAGAACTTAAAATTTAAGTGACGGAAAAACGGACAAATTTTGAATATTCTACAATTTTAATTTAAAATATTTTAATTCAATAATTTCTAAACGCATTAACAATATTATAATTTATTTTCATATTTTATTAAATTTACTACATCATAATACGCGTAATATACACATTTTTTAAGTTCATTTTCTTCTCTTTAAATAAGATTATTTTTACAATATATCTATGTTTCCTTCATTAAAATTACCAATATGCAACATGCTCATATTTTTTATTTCTTACTATACTTACAATACTATCACAATTTTATTTTTTTTATAAGAAAATTTTTGTCACAATTCGGGAGAGCAATTAATAAAATGTGAAGATATTATTATAATAAAATTAGATATTTCATTAAACAAAAAATATACACAAATGTATTTTTTACTTTATATAAAAATATTTTGCATTATAAAGCTTTTCAAATATTTTTGTCCATTTATAAACGATAAAATAATATTAATTTTACATATAATATTCAATTGGAATGGTACAGGATGAATTAATAAAACATATGCGAATTTAGATGAAACTGTGTAATAAAATTCAATCGAATTAGAGATTCCAATAGTATATTAAAAAATTCTTCATTTAAAATTCATATGATATGATATCAAATGCAGCTATTAAATTTATTTGCCATAACTCAAATTCAATAAGAATTATATAAATGAATACATAAATTATAAATATTGAGAAGGATACAAGTTGTAGAAAGTTATTTTTAATTAATATATGCTTTGAATATTGCTTTTGTTTTCAAATTAATATGAAATGTGAATTATGAATAGAACAAAGATTTAACAGTCGAACTGGTTTTCGGTAGTCATGTTCAAAATAGACAATGCTATTTATTTATCCAGTTTTAATAATTATAAACCACTGGAAAAATTTATAAGAGAATTGATGCATACTTACAAATCAATTCCACTTAATTACAAAAATCTTTAACAGTTCAACATATTTGTAGATATTACAAAACATATTTTTTTTTTATATTTTACAATTTCAAACCACTTTCATTTGTATTTTGGCAACCTCATATTGTAAAAACATTTTAATATCATTTTAAAAAGCACAATAAACTAATTCACTTTAATTTCTTAAATCGCCTATACCTATTATAAAATTTTTATTACGAATAGTGAGAAAAAATATCATGAAATAATGAGATGAAACAATTATTCAAATAAAATAATGCACTATAAAAAATTTCAACGTTTCGCTTAAAATGTTTTTCACCTCTTGTAGAATTTTATTTTATGGATTATACGTGGCAAAATTTGTCATAGAGCGATGCTTTGTAAAAATGTCAAGAAAATCCTTAATAATATTCGTCGAATTGAATAATATTCCAAACGAATTTGAATAGAGAGTACAAGACCTTTAATGTTTTGTTTAAAGAAAAATTATATTTTGACTTTGCTTTCATTTTAGTATAATGTACACATTAAATTTTTTGCTATGCATATCATTATCTAAATACAATATATACATAAAATATGCACAATAATTATATTTTTATGCGGATAATTATATATGAAAAACATGTTTACAGTTCATATTTCTTATTATTTTCTTATTTTCTATTTTTGAATATTTGTACTTTTTTTTCTTTCAAGTTAGAATATTAGAATATTATTTGGTGTTTATAAACTTGCTTTATAGTCAAAAACTAATTTGTATTCCTTTTGTAGACATGGATGAAAAAGAAATTAAATACATTTGAATTTAAAAATTATAATTAAATTTATAATATTGATCAAAAAATGTAAATACATTTTGAAAATTATTATCAAATATTATAAATTTCATTAATAAGAAAGCATTCTATAGAAGGACGAAAAAACAAAAAAAATTATCTATATTCAATGACATTATTCGACAAAATCAATTCAAAATACATACTCATCTTTCGAAATTTTCGATCTTTAAGCTCATATATACATACATACATGTTATAACAATTCACTTTTAAAGTCTTTTGAAATAAACATCAAACTTTGTATATGTTTTTATTCATGTACTGCTAAAATGCAGAGGTTGCAACTTAACAGTCCCTTAAACATTTTTTTTTTCAAATATTGGTATTCTAGAAAAAATATAAATTAGAACAAATATTTGTGTATAAACTAAGATAATATTGTAATAAAAAAATATTAAAATAAAATAAGAATAAACTAGTTTTATATAAGTTATCGAATAAATCAATACTTTTATAAAAAAATATGAAACTATTTTAATAATTATACAATAAATATGTATTCTTTTAAATTCAGCATTTTTTTTAAAATGTTACTTTTTAAAATTTCTTAAATTCATTATAGTTAATTCCAATAATTTTTGAATTTGAATTTTACTTGTCCTAAACAGTAATGCGTTAAAAGCAAAATAATAAAATTAAAAAAAATTGTATTGTATTTTGAGACTCTATGAAATTTTGCTTTTAGAAGAATCAAGACATTTTATTCATCAGGACACATACAAATATAATAAGGTTTCTTTAATTTTATGAAGTTAAAGTTAATTTTAACCAACATACTAAAAATAATTATGGAAATAATTATGACTAATATAATAATAAATAATAATTTATATTTTTCATCTAATGTTGTCATTAATTTTTTCTTGTTTAAAAATTTTATCACCAATTTCATTATTACCATCACAACATGTAATCATTTCATCATTTTTATTACTTGATGTTGATTTCCTTCTCTTTTGGACAAAATTTGAATTTTCAGTTATTGTCGTTTCATTATCTGGATTTTTATGACACCATTTATTATGAATAGGATCATAGGTTGCAGATTCATTTGAAATTAATGTCATGTTTAAATTATCTGGATCTGCTTTGTAACCTCCAGCTGCAGAGCCTGTAGCAGCACTGTTAACTTTATCAACGTTTTTTATTTTTGATGTTGGAACAATTGTTATTATTGAAGGATCTCTTTTTAACAAACTTATTTCATCATTGAGATCTTCATTGTCGAAATCATCATCATAATCGATAACTTCAACATTATCATAATTATCATCAGCACTATTAACCAGTGCAGATGAAGAATTTGCAGCAATAACGACTGGTTTGTGTAAATTTGAGGACGTAACAGATGGTATACTAAATTCCGCATTATGCGAGTTTTGTTTTATTTGACTTTTTACCAAATGGTAAACGTAGTTTTCGACGTTGTTTTTTGTCATTGACATCTCCGATGCTAGAGGAATCGGTTGAATTTGTGTCTTCGATTTGGGAATCACTGTATGACGACGGTTTAATAACCGCATGGTGGGATGAGGTGGGCCACTCTTTTCCATTTGCTCTGGTTGTTGAAACTGTATTTGATAAATTTGCTGCTGTTGTTGTTGTTGCTGTTGTTGCTGCTGTTGCATTTGCTGTTGTAATTGTTGGATATCTCTCACTAGATCCATCCGATCCTGATACAAGTCGGTGGGTGTTTCCGTTGCTGTCGGCGACGGAAGTTGTGGATGATTGGGTGTTGTAGTTATTGATGTAACATTTATCGCTTGTGGTAGCGTCGTTGATATTAGTGAACCAGACCGTTGACGAACTCGATTTGCCGGTATCTGATGCTGTTGCTGTTGTTGTTGCGGGGGGGAGTTTTGTCCCGTTGCTAAATTTGGATATGAATGCAGTTGCCGAACCGGTGGAAACATAAGAGCTTCGGATATTTTCGCTATTGCACTTAGAGGATGTGTCTGCTGTTGTTGGTGCGGTGATAGTTGCTGTTGCTGAAAATCCGGCTGTTGCTGATACTGATTGAGGTGAGGGTTTAATGTTGAAGTTAAAGATTCCGGTTGGACTTGATGTTTGGGAGATATTGTTTCCACCAAAGTAACTCCTTCCGATGGCTGCATTCGAAGGTGTCTTGCTGCTCGTATAGTTTTGATAATGCTTGTCCATCGGGAACGCGTCCGCGCTTTTTGGTCGGATGAATTCGCTTTATTAAATGAATGTCAAGATGAAAATATGAAAACGTGAAAGAAGAAAAAAAAATATATATAAAACATTTCATTCATTTTGAATTATGACTTAATGTTTGTGGTTTGTTAATTATAAAATGTTTTTAGTTTAAATGAAAATTTAAATTAAAAAATGTAATAATGAAAAATTTGAGCGTAATATGCAAAACAATATAATCGGAAACTCAAAACAACTCGTCTTTACTAAAAATTTAAATTTGTTTTTTTTTAAACAATTTGTTTCAATTACATTTTTATATAATCATATAAAAGTTTTGGCTAAAAAATTTTATAGACATTATATTGTTTTGCTATTAATTAATTTTTAATGCAATAAATTAAAAAAATAACATTGGTAAACTAAAAAGAATAATAAAAGAAAATTTTATTTTAATGAACAAAAACCCTGAAATGCGCCAATAAAATTTAGCAATTTAAATCTACAAATATGGTAATTAATTTTCAAACTCAACTACTACAATTTACTATATTACTATTTATATTTCAACTATTTATTAATAATATAATTTATTGTTTCAATTAAATTTCAATATTGCTAAATTTTACTATTATTATAATGAAATTAATGAATGATTGCATTTCTTTAATATGTTATTTTTAGAATAAATAATTATGAATTAATAAAACATAAAATAATAAGATACTTTATATTATACATGTATAATTAAAATAATATTACGAACAAAAATCAATAACTAACTTAGACATAAACATTTTCATATTAAAATAAATTTTTATTAACATTTTAATTATTTATTAAGTTTTTTTTTAATTTTATCCAAACGTATTTAAATCTGATAAAATAAAAAAGCACTTAGTTTTTATCTAATTTTAATTTAATTGTTAATTATTATCATTATAATACTTTTTTCTCTTTAATTTTAGAAAACGACATAACAAAGAACAATGTTTTTTAATATTTCTTTGACTTGCTAAAGTTAATTACAAAATAAGAAATATTTCCTCATGAAGAAAAGCAAAAAAAAAAATGTTGTATATAGCTTCCACTTTACACGTAACAAATAATATTAAAAATATTTAAATTTTCAGTTTTTTGGTATTTTTTAAAATTGATTAATTATAATATTAATTTAATTTATGGAGTTTTCGGATGTTTATTTTGTCTGCAAAATATAAAAAATAAATTGAAAAGGTTAAAAAAAATTTAGAAATTTTAATAAAATAAGTAAGGATTAATTTTTACTTTTGGAAATTCAACGGTTGGTTGGAAAAAATTGAAAACTTTAAGTTAGTTTATTGCAGCTTATGTAGTCGGGGATATTTTTTAAGGGTGATAAAGGATAAATATGAAAAATTGATTCTCTATTTTATCAATTGTGAAAAGCATATTATGTAAAAACTTTCAAAATTTTGCAAATCAATATTTCTTGTTGATTTGAAGTGTTAAAATATTTAATGATCATATTTTAATTAATCAATTTTATTAATTCTAAGAAATCCAAATAACAAATTTTTGATTAAATTTAAACAAACGAAATTTAAAATAAAAATTGATAGAAATCAAAACAGTGTGATTTAAAATGAATTTAAAATTTTGTCTGCTTAGAAATTTTGACATTTTAATTTAAATTTCCAAAATATGATTATACTTATTATAATATAGATAATGTATTTTAGATGCTTTTGAATTAACTATTAATCTATATTCAATGAGATGCTTTTGAATTAACTATTAATATTGAATCAAATATTTGCTTTTGAGTTAGTAGCTTTTGCCCAAGTTTGAGTAAAATATTGGAGTATCCAATTTAATTACTACTTATATTCATATTTAATTATAGAGTCTTCATTAAATTACATTTAATTCAACCAAATTGCAGACTTTGGAATAAACAAAATAGGGAAACTTTTCGTAATACTCATACAAATATTTGGAAGATATGTATGACATATTTTTTTAAAGGATTAATTCAATCCAGATAGAAATTAATCAATAGATTTTTAACAACTTTAGAAATAGGCAGTGGATATTGAAATGTATAGATTCTTAAAAAAATATTATTTGCTATGATCTCTTATGTTGCTACTAATTGAAATTAAGGTCATAGCTTTATATAAAAATGAAATACGATTTTAAAATAGCTAAAATGTTAAACAATTTGTTATTGCAAATAATAATTTAATAATTTTGAGACGCGAATAAATATATTCCATAACTCCATTAAATTAATTTCAACATAAATTTTCAAACAAAACTTTTTTACATAAAAAACAGTTAATTTAAAAATAAATTTTTAACCAATATTTACCAATAACAAAAATGATACATGGCTTTGATATTCAAACGATAAACAAAAATACATAATGAACTATAAGTAATGAAAATGAAACGAACTAAAAGATAATACACGATTCTTAAACCATATTATTAGATTTAAATGATTTTTCTAATATAAAATATGAATTCTTTCTTAACAAAAAAAATTTTATTAAAAAATTAGTTAAAAAACGAATTAGATATACAATTGTAGTTTAATTTTTTACACTTAACAGAAATCATATTTTATAAAAGTTTATTTTGCTAATAATTTCAATATGAATTAAAAAATTACAAATACATTATATTTTTGTAAACTTAGCAAAAAATAAGTTTAAAAGTTTTCGATTCTTCTATATAAAAATAAAATAACGAAATTAATAAATTAATTATTATTTTAATTAAATTTAATAAATTTTACTTCTTTTTTTAAATTTTACTTAAAAATTTGTTAAATAGTTAAAATTTCCAGAGTTTCAAATTGTTATTTAATTTAAAAAATAACAAAAACAAACTAATAATGTTTTGTTTTAAATTAATATTCAAATATAATTTTTCAAATTCTTATTGAAAATGAATTTTTTTATATAAGAAATTTCGAAAAATTTTAAACTAAAGCGATTTAATTAAAAAATATATAACAAATATAATATCTTAATTAAGCACATAAAAAAACGCAGTAACACCCACTTCTTATTTAGAATTTGTTATATGAAATATTAATTTATTCATTAAATTTTATTTGTTATAAAAATTATTTCGATAATTTTCACAAATCCACAAGTTTTCATGATGATTTTATTTATTTTTAGATGACAAGGTAAACGGAATGCATTTTGAAATTGTAAAGAAATAGAAATAAAAGAATAAAAAAGTAATTATTACTTAATTATAATTATTATTAAATTAATTATTTATTATTAGGTAAAAAAATTTTAAAATAATTTATAATAGTTCTGTTTTTTTTATATTCTTAAATATATATGCAAGTATTTAGCATTTCCCACACTTATTAAACACACCCAACATCCTGTTTTATATATAACACTCAAAAAACTTTCAATTTAAATATGAACGGCTATTGATTGCGGAATAACAAACCTTTGTTGTGAAGACTGTTTTCTAGGTGGAGGTAATGGTGTTCTACCAATAGGCATTGATGGTGGAGGTGGTGGAGGTATACCAGATGGTGTTGATAAAGAATTGCTACTTGATGTTGATGTTTGATGTTGAACTAATTTTTTTGTTCTTGGTGGTATTGGTGCTGAACGTTCAGATGAAACTGATGGACTACGATTTTCTTCACTTATACTAAAATTAATAAAATATATCGAAATTATTGAATAAAAATTGGATTTTAATCTCTTATTTATTACAATTTTGTTTTTTAATTCTCTTTTATAAAGAAAAACAAAATATTTATTTACCTTTCATGTGAATTAAACACTGGATGGGAATTATGGTTAATTAAATTTGTTCTGCTATTAATACTGTTATTGCCACTACTGTTCAAATTATGATTTTGTGATTGCTGTTGTTGTTGTTGTTGCTGCTGTTGCTGTTGATGTTGTTGTTGTTGATGATGAATATAATGATGACGATCATGATATTGAATATTAGAATTATTATTACTGGTATTACTATTAGAATTGGGGCAACCTCCACCATAATGTACAATTCCAATAGAATTATTAGATGAAATAGAATTTAAATTTGTAATAGATGGAGTTGAACCTAAACTATTTATATTTGAGTTCGATGGATTATTGCCCAAATAAAACTGAACCGATTGATTATCACCATCTTCACTAACAGATGAATCATCTTGAACTCCTCCACTGCTACCAATATTACGACCTGGTAAAATATATAAAAGTTCTTTCCTTACGATAAAGACGGTATTTTTACATAGATTTATACAAACATATAATATAACATGTAATAATATGAATTTTCAGGAATAAAGGAATAAAAAAAACAAAAAGAAAACATTCTTAAATCTTATCAACGAGAGATTGCATTTTATATCTATGCAAAATGAATGAACTAGAAGATTTTTACTTCTTTTTTTTCTTTGTTCTTGTTAAAGCTGTTATTGTAGTCAAGCGCAAGTTATTCGGTAAGTTTATTAATTAAATTAATGGCTAATTTATATTATATTAAATAACTTTTTTAAAAAAAAGGCACGAAGCTTTGAAAATCAAAAATATAACGTGCTAATTATTTTGTTTAAAAAGTTAAAATAAGTTCGCATGACATTAAATTTAATGCAGTTAAATTAAAATTTTTCTTAATTAACCAAGAACCTTTATACAAATTTCTTGTTTTATAAAAGAATAACGGAACGATTTACTTTGCCCTAAAACTTTTATTATTAAATATTAATTTTAATGCAAATAATTTATCGAGCTTATGAACTTTTAGAATACGAGTTGAATTTGAAGACAATTTCGGAAGCATTTTAATTTTTTAAGAAAAAGCATAGTACATATGTATAACAAAATTTAGAACACAATTTTAGGTAGATGCAAATGAGATAAAATATTAATATAATATTCAAATTGTGTTGAATTACAATGAATAAAAAGGGGGTAGACGGATCGTGTTTTTTTTGAAAATTATTGTCTTTTATAATGCTTTGATTTTAATCTAATAATAAAATATGAAAAATCGGCAGTA